CGACACATCCTGCCCTCAACTCCAGCTGGAGGAGCTCATCACTTCGTGTCAAAGCAGGCAAAATGGATGGTCACCCCAGAGCAGATGCCCGCTGCTGCCCTTGCTTGTAAACATCATGTGCAGTCACCACGGTTTATCTGAGAGAAGCTTCCATTGTCCTCTGACCCAGGGACTATTTCTGGTATGTCCGAGAACCCCTGGGATGGGGGGCATCCAGCCTTCTAAACACGGCTGTGACTTTTCTCCAGAGGCCTGGAGCCCAGAGACTGATGTTTCAGTCAGCCACCCTCAAGCTCAGCCCCTCAGCCTAGCACCTGCTGTTCATTGCAACACACCCCATGCCCGTGCTTGTTGCTGGCAAACGATAAATGAAGGGATCTACACAGCCCCATCAGTGTCCCACGTCCTCAAAACAAGAACACAAAGCCCTCTAAGAAGAAGCTGGAGCCGGCACAGGGGCTCATGCCTGTAATCCCAGCACTTTGGGAGGCCAAGGAGGAGGATCAAATGAGCCCAGGCGCTCGAGACCAGCCTGGGGTAACACAGTGAGACCTCATCTCTACAAAAAAAATTTTTTTGAAATTAGGTAGGCATGGTGGAGTGTGCCTGTAGTCCAAGCTACTCAGGAGACTGAGACAGAAGGCTCGCCTGAGCCCAGGAGGTTGAGGCTGCGGTGAGCTGTGATCATGCCACTGTACTGCAGCCCGGACAACAGAGTGAGACTCCAAGTCAAAAAAAAGAATCGTGAATCAGCCTGGGAAAGTGAGGGAAATGGCAGAAGTGAATGCTAAAGGATAACTTAGGAAAGAAAAAGAAACAAGCAATTACTGCGGTGCCACCATGTAGTGAAGCAAGCACTGGACCCCACTTCAACCACACCACCCTGTTTAATCCTCAGCAACTCCGTGAGGAAACCAGGTTTGGTCGGGAAGCACCCTGCCCAGAAGAGCTCGAAGGGGCCAGAGCTGGAATCGTAACTCTGGCTGGCCGACCCTGAGGCCTGGGCTTTCTCCAGTATGTCTCACTCACATATTGTTAAATTAATGCCGTTTACCAAGGGCTTAGTGCCTGGCAGCCTCTGCTACCTGCTATACAAAAAAAAAAAAAATCAATGAAATCCACACGGCAGCCCCGAGGCTCAAGAAGAAGCTGAGGCTCACAGAAGCCAGCCCACCTGCCCCAAGTTCCAGCTCGGAAGAAGTGGGTCTGAAGCCTGGACTAGGTCTGACACCAGGACGCCAGCTCCTGAGCAGAGCCACCCTGACGCTCCACTGGCCGGGTCTACTATGCTCAGCAGAGGATGCCTACGGCAGGGCCAGCAGCACAGCTCGAAAAATCCCCATAGTAGCAAAATTCCTGTCTTCCCACACAGAACAAGGCTGGGAGAGCCGCGAATCTCTCTATGATGCAAGCTCAGGGGCCGAGGAGGGAGGCTGAAGGGAGGCCGGGCAGGGCCGGCCAGTGGCAGAGCAGCTGACATCATCCCTGCTGAATACATTTCTGAGAACACAGGCTGCCTCGCAGCTCGTGGCTGGTGTCTGTCCCGAGCCTAGCCAGCAATGCCTCCCCAACACTCTGCAAGAACAACGTGCTTACAGGAGACCAAGACAGCCCGGCGACAGAAGCTGCTAATTTCTCTGAGCAACCCGAGGATTGCAACACCACGCCGTGCCAGTCTGGCAGAAAAAACGAGGCCCTGTGACTATCCGGAGAAGAGGCAGGCGGGTGCCAGAGCGCGGTCCTTTCAGCCCCTCCTGCAGCCACGATCCAGGCCCCCTTGGAAGAGCGAGTCAGTGAGGAGACAGTGGCTGCACAGCCAGGGAGGCGATGGCTCTGTAATTACGATTTTGCAAGCAAAGAAGGAAAGCTGCGTCTGTTCCAGGCCGCCGGATGGAGCCGCAACGCTTCTGGGAGCAGCGCGTCCGCTCGGCTGATCTCAGCGCCAGCCCATTCATGCAGAAACGCTCCCCAGGCAGCACCGAGGCGCCCCTCCCTGCGAGGCAGAAGCTACCGTGGTCGCAGCTCGGCCCGTCCCCAGGTTTGCACATCCCCGGTAGAGCTTGGGCTGGCTCCGAGTTCCCTCAGCCTCCAGACACGAGCCGGGGCGGCGATCCAGGCCCCCACCCCCGCCCCGCTCAGGCGCCCGTTCCAAGCAGGAGGCAGGAAACGCCAGAAGGGCCCCGCACCCGTACTAGACTCCGGAGAAGTCGAGGCCTTCCAACCCTCTGAAAATAGCCTCCGCGGCCGAACGCCGCTGCCCGGTGGCAGCTGCCTCGCTCGGCGTCTCCGGAGGAGGTGGCTCCTCTCCCTGCAGGGGACAGAGCTGGCGGCGGCTATTCCCGGCCCGGATCATTCCGCAGCCTACGAGAGCCACGTCGGTGGTGGAAAGCACCCCGGGCTGCAACTCGGGCCCTCCCCACGGGCTTGTCAAGCAGGAGCCCCCATTTACGGGGCGCCTGCTGTATGCCAGAGGCCCTCTTCACCTGCGCCACCTTCCCCCATCCCCATTACGGACCCCACAAGCAGCCTCACTCGCATTTACCAAATGAGGCGCCTGAGGCTGAGAAGTGCCTTAGCCAAGGTCACACGGCGAGTACAAGCCCTGGGCGGCCGCCGGAGCCTGCGGGGACCCTCTGCGCAGCGGCTGCCTCGCGGTGGAGTGGGGCGTTGTCCTGCCTGGCTAGCGCCCAAGAGGGGTGCTCCTCCAGGGCGGCCCCGGCCGCCCTCGGCCGGTGCCA